CACACGTGCACGTGCACACACACACACACACGCACACTCAGCCAGTCTCCTGCACTTGTAAACCTGTGCAGGTTGTGCACAGCAGACAGACGAGCACTCAGAACGCAGGAGACCCTCCAACTTGGACATCCAGAGGCGGGCAGACAAAGCTCCCAGACCAGACCTGCAGCCAGCCAGAGTCTATCTAGTGACAGTGAGCTTGGGGGTGGGACAGGAGATGCCTTTCCTCCCCGTGGCCTAACGAGACCCAGTATAGATGTGGATGCCCCATGCATGTCAGCGCCTATGCAGGCAAGGGCCAGCCTCCCAGGACAGATGCTGGCACGTCCCTCCGTGCCCCCGCCCCCTGGCGCCAGGCTCCGCCCACACCAAGCCCCGCCCACCCACTCCCCTCTCTCCATCATCAGTCCGGCCCACCCACGCAGAAACCTTACCCCCGCAGAGCTGTCGCTCTGCCCGTCCAGGTCCCTGTTCCACCTTTAGCACCCCACTCCGTGACCCCGCTAGGTTCTTAACTCCGCCCAGCTCCTCCTAGCTCCACTCATCTCCCTGACCTCACCCACCTTCCCCGGCCCCCGTCCCAGTCTGATCCTCTCAAGAGGCTTCTCCCGTTAGCCTCGCCCACCATTAGCTCCGCCCTCCCAGACCCCGCCTCTCGTCTGTCCCCGCCCCTCGTCTGTCCCCGCCCCCCTGCTCCCCGTATGGACCCGAGGGCCTGTGCGGATACACCGAGGCCTTGTTCATGGAGAATGGCAGGTGGGCCGTGCGCAGCAGGAAGATTATGCAGGTGACCAGCACGGCACCAGAGTAGAGGCATAGGGACAGGACGAGCAGCATGAAGAAGCGGAAGTTGCGGTGACCGATGCAATTATTGACCCACTTGCAGTGGTGATCAAAGTCCTGGGCCACAGGGAATGGGGGGCTTCCATCACCTCCCAAATCCTGAGGCCATCCCCCTGCTCTCAAGGCCACGTGCCCTTAGCCCCGAGCACTAGTTCCTACCCCCAGGAAGAAAGTGAGCCACAGTCCCTAAGGCTGTCACTTCCGTTGTTAGAGCACTGTTAGGGCTCTGTGGCTCATAAGGTCACATGTCAAGAGGTCTTTCGAAATAAGGTCTGCCTGGTCTTCTGTGAGACACATCCTAGTATAACTTTGGGCAGGACATAGAATATCTCTGGGCCTTTACTTTCTCATTTATTAGATGAGGACCCCTTTGCCCAGCCAGTCTCCTGCACTTGTAAACCTGTGCAGGTTGTGCACAGCAGACAGACGAGCACTCAGAACGCAGGAGACCCTCCAACTTGGACATCCAGAGGCGGGCAGACAAAGCTCCCAAACCAGACCTGCAGCCAGCCAGAGTCTATCTAGTGACAGCGAGCTTGGGGGTGGGACAGGAGATGCCTTTCCTCCCCGTGGCCTAACCAGACCCAGTATAGATGTGGATGCCCCATGCATGTCAGCGCCTATGCAGGCAAGGGCCAGCCTCCCAGGACAGATGCTGGCATTATCCGGGATAGCCATGTGCCCAACTAAGAACTAGAGTTTCTTTAATGGAGGATGAAGAAGAGAATGGATTTTTTTTTTTTTTTTAAAGATGACCGGTAAGGGGATCTCAACCCTTGACTTGGCGTTGTCAGCACCACGCTCAGCCAGTGAGCGAACCGGCCATCCCTATATGGGATCCGAACCCAGGGCCTTGGTGTTATCAGCACCGCACTCTACCAAGTGAGCCACGGGCCGGCCCCAGAGGAGTTCTATATAGATCTCAGGCCTCTGAAACAGTGATTGATAGTTTAAGTCATGCACACAATGGAAAGGAGGAGGAGCAAACTGAGTAGTTTAGAAGAGTCCGCCAGCCTCTCTTCCCACCCTGCCCGGCCCCCCCTTCCAAGGCAACTGGAAAACCTCCAGAATTCTGTTTTTCCACACCTCGGTGGCTTGGGAAATGAAGTGCCAGGGACAGAGCAATGAGGGTGATTGGGGGTTAAGGGAGGGAGGGTAAGGTGAAGGGGTCCTGAGGCCGGAGGAGGGAAGACTGGAGGAGTTCTTTAGGAATCATCTCAGCAGACACCAGCCCTTAGGTTGCCACCTCTTCTACCGAGGATCTGAGGCCTCACCTTGATGTAAGATGCCAGGGTCTGAGAAGTTGAGTGAAACGAGACTGAAGAAGGTAAGGATAAAGAGGGGGCCTGTGATGATGGGAAAGGCCCACTCCCCGTTCTGAGCCAGCCACCTGCAACTGAGACCAGAGCCAGACTTAGTCCTGACTTGGGATGGCACAAAGCTCCCCCCCAGGGCCTGGTTCAGCTGGGTCAGGACTCACAGACCTTAAAGGCAGCTCTAAATATCCAGGCTAGTGACAGACCCATAAAGGCTCCACCAAATGTCATCAACATTACTAGCCACCTTCAGCTCCCCAAATGCACCAGGCACTCTGGGCCTCTGTGCCTTTGTACATTTGGTTCTCTCTGCCTAGAACATCCTCCTTTCCCTGACCTCTGACCCCCTCTTCTGCACTCCCCTGCCTCTGTGCTATCATTATCTGTTTTCCGTTCTGCCTCTTTGTAAGCCATCTGATGGCTCGTGTGGGAGACTTACGGGAATGCGAAGAAGTAACCACTGAAAATGACCAGCAACACTACATTGAGGGCAGCGAACAGGCTCGGGAGGATCCAGGGAAATGGGACCTGAGGTGGGGGTGGAGTCTCCTTCATGAGGGGCATGGCATCCTTTAAGAGTGACATGGCTGGGCCTTTCGTGCCCTGAGGAGAGATCAGTGCCACCAGGCTCCCTCTCCCCTGCTGGCTCCCAGAGCCCTATGGCCCAAGCGGCCTTGGAAGTCACAGTCTAGGATGGAAGGAAAGAAGTCCCAGTGTGACATCACAGAGGCTGAGGAATGGGAGCTGGGTTCTTTAGCAGAACTGTCTGCAGCCTACTCTGGCTGCTTGCGGTGACTGACACTGCCAACAGCAAACCTACCTTACCCCTACCTGTACTGGGGACTGAGAGATCCTGCCCTGAGGGGCTGGCTTTATTGGAGACCATACGACATTAGAGAAACACAGACGAGGTTGGTGATTCTCATCACTCTCTTAGGCCAGTGCTCATTGAACATCCTATCTCCCTTTCTTCCTTTTCGTTGTGACAAAATTCCATTTTGGGGGTGGGGACAGCAATCTGCTCAACTAAATAATTTCCCATAGTCCCTTATTTCCAGGGTTGGCTTCACGACACAATTCAGGTCATTGAGACATATGTGAATGTCTGTTGGGGATTTCTGGAGAGGTTTTTGCCTTCCCTGTGTAAGGGAACTGTCCTCTTCTTTCTGTTTTGAACCTAGTCATGCTGGTTGGCTGGGGGTGCCACCTTGGGTCCACTGGCAATGTCAGCATACTTCCCAGAGAGAACTCGACGTTATTGTTGAGTTGCTGCCCCGTCCCTGAAACTGCCTCCCTTTGAGCCGCTTACTATGTGAGAAAACAAATGGATTTTCCGTCGCATGCCACTGACACTGCCATTTGTTTTGGCCACTGAACATCTGAACCCCTCTGTGTTTGGAGGATTTCTCACACCATAAGTCTTGATGAGAGTCAAAGACTATTCATTTCCCCATCACAATTGGAGCTGAAAATGGCCAGATACTTGCATTGGTGCCTTGCTTAAGCATGTGACCCAGGTGCCACCACCAATTAGCTTCAGAGGCACTACCACCAACTGGGGAGTCTTTGCTGAGATGTAGCAACTGCACTGTGTCAAAGTGTAATGTCCACAGTGCAGGTTAATTTCAACAGTGATTCCACTGTTTTTCAACATGGATAAAATATATAATTCCAAGATCTCTAATTTGTTTTTAAAACTTAAACTAGTATTAAATTGGGGTAATTGAACAGAACATTTTGGAGAAATCAATCTGATTAAAAACAGAGCTGATGAGGCCGGCCCGTGGCTCACTCGGTAGAGTGTGGTGCTGATAACACCAAGGCCACGGGTTCGGATC